CCCTCGCCCACATGAGGGTCCCAGCCTGGTGCAGCCCCTGCTCAAGGTCAGGAGCGCCCTGTGAGTCTGCCCCGAGGACACTGTGCAGGGCCCACACACAGCCACACATGGATGCATGGGTCCAGTAGGGCCCATAAATCCCTCGGGCCCTGGTCCTGGCTCGGTCAGTGTCACTACACACAGACGCGGGCAGCTCCATATTTCCATTGACTCTGACAGCAGAGATAAATCTGGCCCAGCCAATCCACAGTGGGCATCAGGGCGTAGCAAGAAGAGTGGCGGCCAGTACAGGGGACACTGCTGAGGACCCTCTGGCCAGGGGACAACAAGAAGGCACGACCTTGTGGTCACCCTCAGCAGCAGGCCTGGGTGCTGCCAGTGCCAGGGACTGGGCGCTTCTGCTCCCTGGGGCAGAGGCTCTGGCTCAGAAACCCTGCTGACCCCCAGCCGGAAGTGATGCCCGGACGGAGTGGCGCTCACCTGGCACTTGCTCCCTGGGCTCCTTCCTGTCACACTCCAAGTCCCGTTTTAGATCTGTCCCTTGTCACTGTGTGACTTTGGGCCCTCCCTGGAGTCCCTCTGGGCCTCTCTTCCCTTTCACTGTCTGCATAGCAGAGATCCGACTCCCAGCCCACTGTGGGGACCCGTGCAGGCATGGTGCTCCAGCCCTGTGAGCATCCCTGTCTGTGGGAGCATCTTCCTGGCTGCCAGTCAGGCCCTCGATAGCGTCTTCCCCAGGGCACCGAGGTGGCAGATGCCAGCTGGGACAGCCACACAGCACATCCCCTCCCTTGGCTCTCTGAAGCCCAACCCCACCAGGGGTGACCTGGCCCATCCCTTCCCTGGCCCAGCCCACCCCTCACTGTCTCTGAGACCCCTGCTAGCCTCCCCAGCCCCAACATCGGGGCCCACCCAACCCCGCCCAGAAAGAACAGTCCACTGTGGAAGGAATGTTAGACGGCCGGGGTCGTGGGTCCCTTCTGCATCTGCCCTCCTACAGCTGCCAAGAGTGCTGGCATATACCAAGGATGTGGGTGACCGTGACAGCAAGCGGGCACACTGGCGAGCCACTCACCATGCCCCAGGCAGGGCTCCAGCTCAGGCCACCTCCAGGGTCACACTGGCCACCATGAGAGGCTCAACGTGGGAATCTGTGACCACAGCCCCTGCAGGAGTAAGGCCTCGGCCTCCCAACTGCACTTCAAACAGAAGGCATGAGAAGCAAACAGATGCCGATCCAATGGCAGGAGAGCCGGAACCAGACGGGCGGGGTGGGGGAGTGGGCCAACTCCACTTCCTGCTCTCTCTTACTTGCCAGTGGGCCAGGGCCTCAGCGGGGAGGAAGCCAGCAGGGAGAGGGAGGTGCCCAGGACGCCCTGCAGCCAGGTCCCCACTCCTGGACCAGCGCTAGCCGCACCACCCAGCAGCACCATCCTGAGGCGCTGCAGAGGTCAGGGCCCAGGACTGCCTCTCCCTGAACACTGCACCAAGGGTCACAGTGGGGACCCTGCTCTGGACACCGGCCACTCAGACCTGGGCGTCACATGACATTTTGGCCTAGCAAGGACAGCAGTGGTGCCAGGTCCCCCATGTCCTCCCCTGGGAGAGGCGCCCAGGGTCCATGCCCTGCACTTGGGCAGGAGATAGAGCTTTGTCCTCTTCCTGCCGTGTCCGTTTGGGGTCCAGGCTCGACACCCTGTCCCTGAGAGATAATGGTTTAATAAGCGATCTGTTTTTTATTTAAAGGGTCGGCAGTAAAACCCAGATCACATTTCTCACTTGGTGGGTTAAAAAACCGCTTACGCTCATTTCTGCAATGTAAAGCGACACTCTATCAAATCAAACATTTCCAGATGGGCCCAGGTTGGCCCAGGCAGCCAGCGGCGGGTGGCGGCGGGAAAATAAGCCAGGGACACCCCCTACTGGCCAGTGGCAGACGGCGCCACGCAACCAGGCTCCCTCGTTCTGTGGACTACAGTAGAGTACTGTGAGCCCCAGGGCTCTAGGACACCTCCCGTCAACACTGCCTGGACCAGCAGGGCAGAGCTTCCCTGCCACCCGGCCAGCCACCCGCCCAGGCCCCTCTGGCCAACCTCCCTCCAGCCACCACACCGCAGAGGCTTGGACATAGCCTGGAAGAGTTTCCTACAGGGAGCAGGGGCCACTGGCCAGGTGTGGGCCACAGCCAGAGGGGAGGGAGGAGCACAAGGCCTGGGTGAGTCTGCCCCCCTGAGCACATGGCCAGTGTGTGAAGCCAGCGAGGGATGGGACCATCTGTGCACAAGCTGCCCGTCCCTGGGGGCCTCGAGGATAGTCGTCCTGCAGACCCCAACACCAAGATGAGGGAGCCGGCAATGCTGGGGGCCCAGCACACAACTCTGACACTGTAGCTACCAGATCCAGGCTCCTGAAGCAGCCCAGCCACTCAGGGATGACAGCACCTGGCGTGAGGGAAGCCACCACAGCACCTTTGGGCGGGGGTTCGGGAGCCCGGCGTCAGAGGCAAGGAGCCCTGAAGAGCGCTGGCTGGCGCTCGCCCCAAATGCATTCCCGGGATTCCCCCGAGGTATGCAGTTTTCACTGTGAATTAAAACCAAAGCCAACTTTAAATTCAATAATAGAGTTATAAACTCTTGAAAGTGTACGGATGGCTGACCGACCCCAGAGAGGAGTGGGGATCTATAAATAGAGGTCCTTGTGAGCAGATTTCGGGATCCTGTCCAACGCTCGTTGAATTACCTTTTGTGAGAACTGCCATGTGCCAGAGTGGGTCGCAGGCGGAGCCAGGGACGCAGGCATCCGCCTGACCTCCGTGGGCCTCAGCCCTGCCACTCCTCCCCGGGGATCCCACCCCAGAGCCAGACCCCCACGGAGCCCCAGCACAGAGCCAGGGCGAGGGCAGGGACCTGAGGACAGACGGGGACCAGCTGGTCAGGGAAGTGCTGTTGGGGCTTGGCTCAAGTGCAGCACCCCACCTGCCTGCATGAACCCTGAAGGCCCATCCCAGTTCAGGGGCCACCTCAGCCTTCCCCAGGGCAGCAAAGGGGGAGGGGCACTCGTCAGTGACCAGGCTGCCCCTGTCCCCATGGAGGACAGAAGCCCCGACAGCCCCTAGTCTGGGGAGCAGACAGCCCCACCCTGCTAGGTCTCCGGACCTCCAGCCCCTCTGCCACCTCACCCAGTTTCTGTCCTAGGTCCTGGTCACTTCCCCAGCTGGTGGAACAACAGCACAGGACAGGGGCCCGAGGACTGAGTCTCATGCCTGCTCCTTGCCACACCCTCACTCACTCGCTGCTGCAGAGACCCGCTCCTGTGAACCGCAGGCTGTCCTGCCCTTTGAGTTCTGCCCACAAGGGTAGAGCACGGGCCTTCTTGCTTTTCAAAGTGACCTCCCCTGGAAGTCCCCGAGCTTCACCCCACCCCACCCTGGCCCCTCTGTCCTCCTCTGAGCTGCTCTGGGATGAGGTCTGTGTTTTCTTTCTTTATTCCCCTCACAGCCCCACCACTGTCACCTCCGACAGTGCCCTTCACAGCAGGTCGGTGAGTGGGTCACCTTTCTTAAACATAATATAACTGCAGTGAAATTCATTTTTTTCTCTGTTCAAAACAAGGGTCTCTAGTAGCCTCTCTGTGTGCAGCCCAGAAGCTAATCCTGTATGACCCCATCCCTGGGCAGAGCTCTAAGGCTGAGGACCTCCCTGGCAGCCACGCTGGGATGTGAGCCCACCTGCCAGCTGCACCCCACTCCCAGCGCGCTGGGTCTGAACCCCAAGTGACCTGAATAAACACGTCGGCTGGAGTACCTTTAGTTTCAGCATTGGTGGTTTTGCCAGGCCTCTCTCTGTGTCTGGCCACCCCATCCAACCCCACAGAGCTCCTCCAACACTGCACCCCAGGGGCAGGTGGGACAGATAGGAACCTCCTCGGCCTCTGGGTCCTTTCCTGGGGAAGGGGGTGATGAGGACATCTGTCAACAGGTCATGTGGGATTCAACCAAGGGAGAAGAGAGAAGGGTGCAGGTATTTGCTGCATATAACAGAGCAGAGCTGTTAGCATGACCATCATCAACACCATCACCATTATTGTCACCACCACATTGTCACCATTATCATCACCATTACCATCCTTACCATCTTCACCATCTTCACCATCATCACCATTATCATCTCCATCACATCACCACCACCATCATCACCATCATCACCATCACATCATCTCCACCATCATCACCATCATCACCATCATCACCATCACATCGTCATCACCATCATCTCCACCATCATCACCACCACCATCACCACCACCATCACCATCATCGCCATCATCTCCATCATCACCACCATCACCATCATCTCCACCATCATCACCACCATCACTATCATCATCATCATCACCATCACCATCACCATCATCATCACCATCATCATCACCATCACCATCACGATCACTATCATCACCATTACCATCATCACCATCACCATCACTATCATCACATCACCATCATCACCATCATTATCATCTCTATCATCATCACTATTATAATCATCACACCATCATCACCAGTATCAACACCATCACCACCATCATCACCATCATCATTATCATCACCATACCACACCATCATCATCACCATCACCATCATGACCATGGGGTCAGGGACCAGTCATCATCCAGAAGTCCCCAAAGCCCAGGGAGGGTTGGCAGCAGGTGGTATCAGGTGGGGACAGCGGGTTGTGACAGAGCCTGGCACTAGAGATGCCCTAAGAGAGGTTTGCTGGGAGGAGGCAGCAAAGCTCCTCACCAGCAACAGCCTGGCTTCCCGCACAGAGGAGGGCTGTGGCCCTATTCTCCATGCCTGCCCCTAAGCGCCTCCTCCCTAGGGCCATGCACTGGCTGAGGCAGAGCTCTGCTGTCCTCAGATTCTGGGCAGGCAGCAGCATGAAGGAGGGGGCCGAGCCCCCCAGGGTTCCGAGGATGGAACCCCAGATGCCCCTGTGCCCCAGCCCTGGAGACCATTCTTGGCAGGCAGAAGGGGATCCAAGAACTTCTGAGCTGTTGACAGGTACCCCCGAGACTGGCTCCTGCCCTGCTCTTGCTGCCAGGTGCAGGGCCCAGGGAGTGTTATCAGCCCCTGCCCCAGCCATGACAGGAGAACAGGAGGGGAACGGGCACCCAGCCAAGCAGGCAGCCGCTGCCCCTCGGACCTGCAGAGACTGCATTGTATTCACCTGTGGGGACCTGTGGGAACTCCAGGACTCCGGGACCCTGGAGGAACACCTAACTCCAGGAAGCAGGAGTGTGCAGGGAGAGCAGATGACCCTACCCTCCATGCCCCCAGGCTGAGCTGTTGTGCCCCTGCCTGGCTCTGGGCCCCGAGACCAGCATGGGCCAAGCAGAGGCTCCCAGAGCCAGGACAGCTGTCTCTCCCGCTCTGCCAGGCCAGCCCTCCTCATAGCTCTCCAGCTCAGGACAGCAGCTCCCTTCCCTGCAGTCTGGTGCTCTGTGGCTGCCCCTGCAGCCTCTTCTCCACTGCCGGGAACCCCGTAGCCCGTGACCTTGGCACTCCCTGAGGCCCCCAGCCCAGACAAGGCTCCCACCCAACAGCCCCTGCCCCGCAGCTCCCAGCTCCTCAGCTCAGGCCTGAGATCACTGCTCTTCCGCCCACGGGCACAACTCCAACCCAGGCAGTGGCTCTGAGGCCCCCCACCTTCCCCAAGGGCCTCTCTCCCAATCCCTGGCAGGTGGCCACAAGCCCAGCCCCTGCGTGACCTCAGGATGCGGGGTCTTCGTGAACAGCACCAGGGGCCTGGAGCAGCCAGGCTGCCTGGGCCATCTGGAGTCACAAAGGGATGCTGAGGCCGGCAACCCAGAGTTCTGCCTGTGGCTCGCAGCCCCCCCGAAGAGGTCTGTGCCTCCTCCTCAGTGTCCAGGGCTGGCCGGGTCAGCTGGCCCTTTAAGGGGTGTTGGGGTGGGCCTTTGCTGACGCTGCCCTGCAAACTCCATGAGCTCTGTCAAAATATTTTTAGTATTTGTTCTGTTTAAAACCCCAAGGTATTAGAGTGTGCTAATCTTTAGAAAGGTTAATTTATTCATAGGGGTTTTGACAGAGATGTATGGCGCAGCGCAGCCTGGCCCCTGCCTGGGGGAGCACTCGAGCGCTGAGAGCGGTGCACGGACAGCGCCCAGCGGCCACCAGGGGCCTGGCCTGGCCGCGCAGCCCCGCGCTCAGAGGCCCAGCTCCACACCAGGACCAGCTCCTCCCCTCCAGCTGGGTCTGTGGCCGTGGGGTGGGACAGTGCAAAGCCACCGCTCTACCTCTCCTGGCCTGAGAGCCCTTCTCCGAGAAGCCCAGCACCCACGCCCCGGGCCACAAGTGGTTTTGGGGACCCAGGACAGGCTGGCCCACAGGCCAGTACTCTGGGGACAGACAGGATCTCTTGGGGATCCACTGAGAAGCTAAGGGCTGCCCACCCGACACAACAGAACCATGCTCAGGCCCCCACCGTCCTTCTCCCTCTGTGCTGGACTGAGCTTGTACTGGCGCTGACAGTCCCAGCGTGGTGTGTTCTCAAAGTCCCAGGAGCGTGTGGCCTGGCCTCTCGACACTTCCTTCACTCTGCTGAGCTCCAGCCACGCAGCCTCCAACACTCAGGTCAGCCACTCCAGGAGCTCAGGATCCACACTCCTTCTGCCCGGCATCCTGCTGACCCCAGCGTCCCAGGGTTAGCACAAATGCCACCTCCTCCAGGAAGCCTTCCCTGGCCACCTGGGTCACCTCCCCTGGGCTCCAGCAAGGCGTGTTTTGGTCTTCTCCATCACCTGCTGCAGGGGGCCTGTGTGTCTGTTCATCATTGCTACAGTGGCTCCTGACCACAGGGCGATTGGCGGCCGTGGGCCAGGTCTCCTGGGCAGCTGCTTTGACGTCAGGATGGCTGCATACAAGCTACTCGCGGAGGTGCGATGGAATTGCTGGCCACAGGCAAGTGTCTGCACAGCAGTGCAGCCCTCCGTGGCCATGTAAATGATACCATGGGCGCCCGAAGCCCGGCCAGCCGTCCCTGGGGCGGACAGGCAGCTATCTCTGTAGCTTTCCCGTCACCAGTGCTGCAGGAAAGCGCCCTCAGCACCTGCAACTCCTCGCTGCTGGGTTCTGGGCAGGACCTGAGCTGTGAGGCAGGGCTGGCCCAACCCACCCCAGCTGAGACTGGGCCTGGGCCTGGGCCACACGGCCCTGAGCTGGCCACACCTTGCAGAGGAGCCAGGGCTGGGCCAGAATCCCGCTGGACAGCGGCATGGGGGTGACTCTGTGAGGGGCCTTTCCTTCTGCAGAACAGCTGCCAGGTGCACCAGGCAGTGGGGACTGGAGGGCTCTGGCCGCCCTCCTCACCATCACCACCCCGGGAGGCCAGAGCCGGGGGCAGGTGGAGCCCCTTGGCCATTCGCCCTGGGCCCTGGCCGGCCTGAAACCCATACTACATCCTGGTCCCCTGAGGCCAGCCCAGCCACCTCAAAACCCCACGTGAGGCCACTTCTCTGCTGTCCTTGGGACGCAGGGCGGCGGCCGTGGGGATGGGAGACAGATGCGCGCTCCTGGGCTGCGTAAACAAGGCCGGGAAGGTGGGTGTTAGGTTACGCCGGTGAAATATCGTAAAATAAATACAAGAATGGTTGGTATACTTCAGGTAAATTAGCCTGATTCAAGTTGTCAGCTTGAGGAAAGTCTAAATAAACAGAGCTCACATCTCTGCTTGGCGTAGGAAGGGGCGAGGAGGCCGCATGGGCCAGCTAATCCCCAACTCGCGGTGGCTGTGGCCTTGGGCAAAGGACCTGGGGCACTGAGTCCCGGGGAGCCCCCCAGCCGGAGGCCCCTCGGTGGAGCTGGTAGCCCAGAGACTCAGGGGTCTGAGAGCCGCAGTCCTCCCCTCTGCAAAGGGGATAGACAGGGCCACTTGTTGGTCCCTCAGGTAAAGGAGTGCTCAGTATCCAAACCCCGGGGTCCCCTATATGTCACATATGGTACAATGGTCTTGCAGTCAGAGCTGCAGGCTGGGGCAGGGCCTCAGGCCCCGGTGATCATCTGCCTCCGACCCTTGTGATGTCGCTGGCCCTCACATGACCTCAGACAGCCAGGCAGGACAGGGCAGGGGCCGGCTGTCCAAAGCCTGAACCATCATCGCCCAGCTCACCCAGGGGTCCAGGAGCTCTGCCTCCCTGTAGCTGGTTCCCTGGGAATACCGGTGTGCGGACCCCAGACCCAGAACTGCCAGGAGAACCCCAGGAACCAGGCCCAGGGATCCAGCGGCCGCTCCTGAGCGAAGGTCTTCCCCCTGGGCCCTGTCCACCCTGTCTGCCTCTCTCCCTGGCCCTCTCTCTCCCTCCTCCGTGTTTCCCCTCGGGTCCCAGCCCGGCCTCCACATCCCTCGCTTCCTGAGCACAGTCAGAGCCACGAGAAATTCTGCTAAAGCTCTCCGTGGACTATCCGAGCAGAGCCCGTAGTCCCCACACTCTCAACCCTGTCCCTGATTCGTCACCCCCGCTCCATGGCTGGCCCAGAGCCAGAAGCCCCCAGCCAGGTGATACCAGGACTATGGGTGGCCTCACAACAGGACCTGGGCCTTGTGCAAACCATCACACCGGCTGTCCCAGGTGAGCTCCCTCCTCGGGGTTCTCCCCTACTCCCCCTGGGGCTCTAAGCCTCCAAGGATGTCTGGAAGGGGCCCAGGTGGGGGTCTCCTCAGCCTCCGTCTCCTCCAGTGTCTGTGAGCAGAGGACAGGGTGTGAGGGTGTGGCAGCCCAAGGCAGCCCCCCGCTGGCTCCCACCCATCGCCCAGTGCCTGCTGCAACCCAGCCCTGGGGAGCCCTCACAGGGCTGCTGGACGTTCGTAGGTGTGGGGGCCAGACTTCCGCACTGCTCCCTGCTCCCCAACAATGCCCTGTCACTGGACCACACAATAGCCTGAGAGGCAATGTCACACTGTCACATGACAATGCCAAGTCAGCCAGATCCTCTGGACCAAGGACAGGACCTGGGAGGGGTCCAGCCCCACCTGGCCAGGTGTTGCTTGCAGAAGGATTGTCCAAGGCCCTGCAGGGGTGTGACTGTGACAGCCACACAGGGCTCCCCCGGGATTCCCATTTAGACCCCACTGCCAGCTGGTGAGCACCGCCTACCCTGCAGGCCCAACTTACCCCCGCACACTCGCAACCCCTGCAGAGATGCCCCGAGCTCACGGACAGTGACAGGATGTGGGCACAGCAGGGAGATGGGGGAACCGGGGTGGCAAGGGAAGCACTTCAATCTTGAGGCACAGGCATGCCGCACTCCCTCAGGGAGAGCAGTACCCCTGATCCAGAGAGGCAGTCTTGACCTGTTGGCAGCTCTGACCCCCAAAACCAGCCTCTCTCACCCTGCAGCGTTCAGAGCCAAGGTGACAGTGGGAGGATCAGGCACAGCAGCGACAGACCTGGACGCCTCACTGCCTGAGCAGAACTGGCCAGCCTTCCCCTGGACCAACCCTCAGCTCTGGCATCACAAGGAAGCCCAGGACACAAGCTGCAGATGCCCACACCCTTGAAGGTCCCCACTTTCTCTCCAGGCCCCCTCAGGCCCCCAGGCCTCTCCCAGCTGTGGCTGCAATGTCGATGACAGGTGCAGGAGGCGGGCTCTGGGTCCTGGTCTGGGTCAGACTCCTTTGCTGTTCGATGCTCCCACCCAGGGCACCTGTGGGGCCACTTGGCTGCATTTGAGGCCTTGCTGTTTCACCATCCCCGGCCACAGGAGGTGGGGAGGCAGAGCGCCCGAGGACAGGCCAGTGCTCGTCCGATGAGATGCACCCAGGCTGCCCCAAGTGTCCAGCACCGGCTGGGAGCTCCTCGCCCCACCCACTCTCTGTCCTGAGGTATGAGGACACAGAAGCTATGCCAGGTCTGCAGCTAGAGCTGGTGCCAGCATGGGGGGCCAGCTCAGGCACTGGAAGAGGCCATGTGGCTACTCTTACATCTTTTGGGGAAGATTATTGGGGGTCACCTTGCATCCCCTGAGGAAGCACATGGCCTGCACCCAGGGCAGGGACCCGAAGACCCTTCCTGGGTACCCCTCATCAAGACTTGGAAAAAACCTGTGAATCCCCAGAGGAAACTCCCCCAAAGGCTTATCTTCCATCTCCCAGGGAGGATTCTGTAGGGCCCGGGCTGGAGCCAGGCTCTTCCCCATCCCAGCAGCGGCAGCGCAGCAGGTGTGGGAAGGCGGGACCATCAGGCAATAACCTGCCATGGGCAATTAGCTAACGTCAACAGGCTGGAGGCCGTCTGGCCAGATGGGGAATCGGGTATTTATTGCGGTTATCACTAGCAAATTGATCATTACCGCGCTGACTTTTAAGAGTGTGCAGTGCCCAGCCTGGTGAGTTGTTGGTTCAGCCCCAAATGAACAGAACCTTTAAAACCCTTGATCGCTCTCACCTGGAAGTTTACACTAAATTTAACAAATGGAGTAGCTTCTAATCCTGCTTACCTCGTGCCAGGCTGCGCCTCCCATGTGCCAGTGTGCACTGGGCATGCCTACATCCCAGGTTGGATCCCGGCACCGGCTAGAGCCACACTGCCCCAATGCTCCCTCAGCGGGGCCCCAGTCCGGCCCCAGCGTCCGGCCCCAGCGTCCCTCGCTCCTGCCTGATCAATCCTGTCCCACCCTGCAGACGCTGAGCCAGGTGAGTTCTGCCTCTTGAGGGCAGACACACAATGTACCAAAAGTGAAAGAACATGGACAACCATCACCACAGAAAATCCGTCAGGCAGGCGGCCAGCCCTGCCTCTGTCTGTGCAAACACTAAGGCCTCTGCACCCTGCAGCAGGGCTGGGCTACCCCACGCCACCCCCTGCCAGGGCCTGGCTCCAGGTGGAGACTGACGGTTGGGATGCCCTTCCTCCTGGACCCCCGGTGAGCAGTTGTGGGTGTCTGGAGAGTGTGGGTGGATTTTCACTTGGGATCAGCCTCTCTCCTGCTCCAACAAGAAGGGCCATAGAGAGGGGAGGGAGACAGCGGCCAGGTGGGTCCTGCAGCAGGGGCAGCAATGCTGATCTCTGTACCCACTAAGAGCCCAGGCCAGGGACCCTAGCAGTGACCCTAGCCAGTGACACTGGCTGGAGACCCTGGCTAGCAGACCCCAGCCAGCCACCTGGTAAAAATCTTGCAGGAATCCTCACATGGTACCTGGGAGGGAACGATTTTCCAGTTCAGCCATTGCTGTTGACACTGGCCCCAAAGATGGAGCTGGACTGGACGTCTGTGCCCCTCCCAGAAGTCTCAGCACATGAGCAGCACCAGGCTCCACACTGAGAGAGGTCGCTGGGTGGCACCTGACCCAAGCCCAAGGGTCCTCGTCAACAGCCAAAGGCACTGACCACAAGCCAAATGCCAAGGGCAGATTTGTACCCAGTCCATGGCTCCAGAAGCGCCTTCCAGGCAGCCTGAACCCTGTGCTAAGGGTTCCTCTCACGCCCCCTGGTGACTGTCCCCTGGCTCAGCCTTTCTGAGCTGGTCCTGCGAAGAGCGAGCACCCCTCCTATGGCCCCTGGGCCTCCTGCTGCCTCCTGCAGCATGCAGGTCCTGTACGAAGCCATGGCCGGCCACCTCGGCTCCTGGGCCTCCATGGCCGGCCACCTCGGCTCTTCTGATGGCCCCGGGAGCTGTGTCCTGGGCCCAGCGGCCCTGGCTGGCTTGTCGCTGTGCTTGGTTTTATTTCATATCTAGAAGATCACTGAGCAAGAAGCTAAGAGTCAGAAAAACACTTGCTAGGCACAGGGGAAGGCAGCCTGCCCCAGGGACACCAGAGAGAGCAGGCCTGCTCAACCATGACATCAGGATAGCAGTGTCACCAGACCTGGCCCTGTGCCTGTCCTCAGGGAGCTGCTGTCTTTGCAGCTCCACACACAGGAGCCTCCCACTGGCATGGGGAAGACATGGCACCTGGGTGTCCCTGAGGCTCACGACATCAGGCAGCGTCCCCTGGGCTCTGGTGAAGGCAGGAGGAAGGGAGCAGCCGCAGGTGCATGGGGAGGCCCCGAGGCCCCGGCCCCTGTGATACAGGTGCTGCTCTGAGGAGTGTGGGTGCCTCGCCCTTGGGGCGCTCTGGCGGTCAGGGGTGGAGGCAGCCATCAGCCTGTGGGGACCCTCACAGAGGTGGGAATGCCTCCACTCCTTCTCCAGGACGGCACGGATGAGGTTGCAATGACAGCTGTCAGGTGACATAGCGACCGCATCCTTTCCTGATGGCCCCATGCTCAGCAGACCCCTGACCCCTAGCTGGGGCTGCCACATTAGCACATAGGAAGAAGCCGAGCCCCAGCTCAGGACTAGGTGCCCCCCCACCCTGCGGCTCCAGGTGACTCCTGAGGCCCTGGGGCACCAACCCCCAGCCCCCCAAGTCCAGAGGTGGAGCCCCACCCACAGGAACCTGCCTGGCTGTGGAGAGCGCCTCAGGGTGTCGGCAGGGCTGCTGTGTGATGGGCCATGACGCAGTCTCTGGGCTCCCTCTGCTGTCCCAGCTGGGACACGGTGCCAGGAGCGGTGCCCGTTCGGGGAGGCAGCAACAGGGGAGCCTGCCAGGGGCCCCCACGAAGTCCCGGGAGCAGGGATGGCGGCCCTGCCATGCGGGGAGCAGCCGCACACCCAGTGTTTCAGCAAAGACTCAGCTCTTCTCCCGCCTGTCTCTAGCCCGCTTCTCTGCCAGTGTTCTCTCCCCAGCTCTGTCAGGAGCTCTCTCCAGCTGGCCTCGTTTCCCCTTCAGCCCCCATCCTGTCATCCTCAAGTCCCCTCTCTTCCCGGCCCTGTGAGATGCTCCCACTCGTCCGGCCCAGCCCAGAGCACCTGGCCCGGTACTGAAGGACTGAGGCTGCGCCATGCTCTGTGTGGTGCCACGGGGGGGCGCTGCTGTGCTCGAAGCAGAGAGGAGTAGGTAAACTTTTGTCTGGACTGTGTGCATGCACGTGCAGAGCAACCCGTGTGCACAGTTTAATGTGCACATACATGCTAATGTGTTCATGCACACATACACATATATACACAGGCTACATGTGTGCATACCTAAGGGCACATGCACGTAAATGTAAACATGCCCATGTGCACACACGTTTATGCACGCATGTGCATGGCAGAGATTTGGTCATGCCCCAAGAGAGCTGGGCACAAGGACACAGGCTGGGTGCTGACAGGGCAGGCACAGTGAGCCAGGGGTTGCCTGCCGAGAGAGCTTGGGCCTGCCCAGCAGAGGTATGCGGAAGGCAGGGGGACAGGCAGCAGGGGCTGGAGAGGACTTTGGGGGTTGAGGGAAAGCTGGAGGGTGGGGCCGATCACCAGGCTCAAGAGCTGACCCGTGTCCTGCTGGCGGGCTGTGCACGTGACCCGGACGCGGATGGAGTCTGTGGGAGCCTGGAGTGTAGGCGGCTGAGCGATGGCCATGCCACCTGTGTGTCTCCCTCGCCATGGGGATACTGGAGCGAAAGCGCGAGGACACGAGAATGTCCTCAGCCCTTTCCCAGAGGAGCTGTCTGCTGGGTCTGTCTGCTATTTCCCGCCGTTAACCTGGGTCCTGGGGCTTGGGGGGAGCCCTGAAAAGAGACGCCTGTGGGGACTGGGCTCATCTCAGAGCCACAGCGCATCTGACGCCCACAGCACAGGGCCCTGAGGCCCAGGTCTACAGTCAGCTGCACCCGGGTCTGAACTCCTTGTGGGGCCTCCGGGGACCCGGCATGAGAGACACAGGGCTCAGGACCACAGACGGAGACTGCACTGGACCGACAGGAGACACCGGGGCTCCGGCCCATGACCCGAGAGCAGCCTGGCGGACACCAGCGAGACTGTGACAGCTCTGTCTTGCGTGACCAAGCCGGTTACATGGGTGTCACCAGGCCTGCATCCCCTGGCTCCTGGGCGAGTCCTGCGCAGGGTGGGGATGGCAGTGGTCACCGTGGCCCCAGCCCAGCTCGGCCCTGGCCGCAGGCGAGGCGGCATCCCAGGAACATGTGAAGACAAATGGCCACCCGCCTTCAAATGAACCCCACTAATGACTGCTTAGCACGTCCATAACTTTACCAACCAAACCCGGCCTGCAAATCCCTGACGAGGCTGGGCCCTTGATTAATGCTAATGGTTTTTCTCACCAGCTGTGAAAATGCATTTTCCATAATTTAGTTGTCATTACAATGGGAAGGATTTATAAAACACACGCACACACTGTGTGCACAGAGGCCCTGGAGGGGAGGGCAGTGGAGGCCAGGAGCAGCCAGGCCTGCCATGAGAGGCAGCAGGGCTCTGGCCACACCCGGACGCCCAGCTTCCAGCTCCTGGCAGGACACTGTGCACCTCTATGCTGTGCCAAGGATCCACAAGGGAGGATGGCCATGACCAGGCTGGGCCTGGCCCTCGGCACCTCTCCTGGTGAGGGACGGCAACCCTGGGCAGCTCCAGCCCTGCCCTGTTACCGCGGGTCCCAGACCAGGCGCTCAAAGCCCCTCCTGCAGCAGCGGCCACAGGCGAGGAGCTCATGAGGTGCATCCAACACCAGAGCTACCTGGGCTCAGGCCTTGCCAGGAGGCTGCCCCTCGTCACCCTGTCTACCTCCCCACAGAGCACTGCCATGCAGCAGGGTCTTGCTGGAAGGAAGAAAGGAAGGAAAGAGGGAGGGAGCGATCAGGACGGATAAGTCAGGGGAAAGATGGATAACTGGATAGAAAGTGGGAGAGAGGAAGGGGTAGATGATGGAAAGATGGGGAGACGGAAGGAAGAAGGGGAGGGAACAGACACAGGAAGGAAGCCCCAGGCAGGCAGCACACAGGGCCTTTTAGAAGATCCCCACGAAGCCCTCGTAGCGGTGGACACCCAGTGACCAGCAGAAATTTGACACTGTGGCTTGGGCCGAACAGGGCCCAGCCAAGGCCCAGAGCCCCAAGTGGCCAGGCTGGAGTCCGGCGAGGGCGGCCACCGACCAAGGCCGCTCTGCTCCCAAGCCTGCAGGCTCAGCCAGGGCAGGGCCCCCCACCCCGCTGTCTAAGCACAGATGGGCGCAGCGGTGGGGGCGAGCGGGGCAGGCCGGGAAGCAGCCGGCATCGAATCAATTAATGCGCGCTCTTCCCAGCCCAGGCACGCTTTGCCTTCAATTAGCAGATTCGCCGGCCCTGCTGCAGGCCCGGGGCCTCCACCACGGAAACTTTCTCCTTCTTGTTTTAATCTTTCACTGAGCCGGCCTTTCGCCTCCAGCCCGTCTAATTGAAACTAATCTTCGCGGGCAAGGCCTGTCTCTCCTCCTAATCCTCCTCCGAGGAAGTTCACATGGTCCCAATTACAGCCACACCGGCCCCTTTCATTCCCGCCCTTGTCTCCCTCTGCCAGCCTCATTTTTTGAAAGTCTGCATTATTAACTCCATGCTTGCGAGTTCCTGTCACGGGCCGCGAGATGCTATCGCGGGCTGCCGATGGATAAGGTTACCACGAAAGCATTTTGTGGATTACGTTTCGCACAAAGGCGATAGAGGACGCGATAGCAATGCCGGGAGCTGGGCGGGCACGGGGCGGGCGCGCTGGCCACCGTGGCCCTGCCTGCAACCTGCAGCCAGGGCCAGGGTGCCGGGGAGGAGGGGGAGGGAGCACATCATCCACCACCAAGCCACAAGGCCAGGCCGGATCCCATGGGGGGCTGCGGAGCAGGAGACGGGGTCCCTCCAGCCGAGCTCAGTGTTGCAACAAGCCAAACGGAAACCCGACATTTCCAGGCTGTCGAGGACGTCAAGTTTCCGAGCTCCGGGCTGGAATCCACCCCCGCCATGCGGGCATGCTGGTTATCACAGCCGATCAGACCTCAGATTGGCAGCTGGGGATGTCTCTGATTAATTTTTTTGAAAAGAAACTGAAATAATCATTTCTTAATGAAAGCAGTTGGGTTTTTTTAAGTACCAAGCTCCAAGACTACAGGAGAACAATAGAATGGGCCGCTGGGGGTAACCAGGTAGGGAGGGGGCCGGGACACCGCCTGCTCTAAGGCACTGAGGGTCAGTGCTCTGCCTATCACCTGCAGGGTCCGGGGCCAGGGACACTCGCCCTGCTGCACCCCCACGGTGCCCACCAGCCAGACCCATCGCTTTCCTAGGGTGGCCCCAGAGCAGAAAGGGCCCCCCACAGGAAGTCCCAACAGAGACCACTGAGTGGGACCCTCCAGTGTATGCCCAGGAAGCCCCACCCCTCTGTCCTCAGGACAGGGCACAGAGGTCCCCAGCCCAGGCCACAGGTCCCTTGGTGCTTTGTGTCAAAGCTGCAGACAGGGCTTCCCCTGTGACCAAGAGGCCTGGCCACGTGGGAACAGGTCAGGACACTGCCCCTCTGCACTCCCTGCCCCTGGCATTCTGTCCCTGCCAGGTCAGGCCCTGGAAAAGAGCTAGCAGCACCTCACACACGCTTCCCGCCCTGCCCTGTGCCCCTTCACGGAAGCTGTGGGTGACTCAGGATCCTGTTTGTCACCCGTTGCTCCCTCCATTGGGTGAGGACCAGGCAGGGTTGAGGTAGGGTGCACAGGGGCCCTAAGGAGTCCCCACTCTCACCAGCCACAGACTCCTCTCCAGTATCCGAGCCCCCACCGCACCGGCGCCTCCTCTGAGCAGAGCTGCCAGGGTCCCAGGAGTCACCCTCAGGAGCCTGAGTCTCAGCTCCTGTGGGAGAAAGGCAGCCCCACCGGCACTTGGCACAGAGCTGGGTGCCACTGGGCCTCGCCCCGCCCCGTTTGTGCCCCCTCCTGGCGTGTGGGTGGGTGGCAGGCAGGTCAGGCAGAGGGGGCCAAGGAGCAGACCAGAGAGCCGCAGAGTCGGGAGACGCAGCATAGACAAGTAGCCGTTGCCCGCTGTAGACAGGGTGCCCGTGAACACCGTGTACACGGTAAAGAACCGCACTGTGTATTTGTCAATTAAAAACGTGAGCGTACAGTCCAGTTCGGGGTGCACACCTGAGACCCTAGCTACTCAGCAGGCTGAAGCTTGAGGGTCGCAAGTTTGAGGCTGGCCTTGGCAAGGGCCCATCTCAAAATAAATAAAATAAAATACATTTTTTTAAAGGGCTGGGGCATTACTCAGCGGTAGAGGATTTGCCTAGCATGTGGGAGACCCTGCACTCGATCCCAGCACCACAACTGAAAAATGTAGACCACAGAAAAGAAAAATATCAAACATAAAATAGCATGAAACGCACAGGATAACTAAAATGAAACAGACTGGTGAGCCGAAACCCAGTGGTGATGAGGATGAAAGCGAGAATGAAGGGCACCTGGGCACCCATCTTGCAAAGAGCGTGGCAGGGGCCCAGGAGGGGGATGGGTCCACCTGGAAGCTGGCAGGAAGTGTTCAGAGCTCCTGGGCTTCTAACAGGCCCGTGCTGGAAATCACCCAGGCCTACATCAAAAAGTGAAGACCGAACCTCCTGTGGTCCCCTGTTGGGCAGATATAAGGTGCAGCTGTACATGGCCGAGACTGGGAACAGATGCGTGGGAGGACGGGTGCCATGGGTGGGTACAGACCATGGGTGGTGTTGTGGCTGTGTCTAGATGCTTCTCCAAAGCCCCATGCAGTCATAGGAGGCCTTTTTCAGAGGTGGCTGGACCTAGACTGTGTGATTCATTCGTGGTGCAGAGCTAGGAGAAAGGGTGCTAGCACTAAGGCTGGGTGATTACTAAACCAGTCCAAGGGCTGGACCGGCACTGCCCTAACTCCGGAAGCCTGGACACAATGTAAGAGACAGAAAGAGGCTTGTCTTGCCCCCTTGCTTGTTTTGCTACGTTCTGCCGCCTTGGATTTTTTCCTCTGCCACCCTGACTTGGAGCCTGCGACTATGGACTGAAACCTCCCTCTACCAGCTGTGAGCTAAGTAAACCTTTCCTCCCTTCACTTGTGGGTGTCGGGTATTTTGTCTCGGCAGTGACAACAGTAACTAAGACAGACAGACACCTGTCATGGATGGGCAGCACGGGTACAGACGGCTGGGTACAGACGGTGGAGCACTACCCATCCATAACGAAGGCGCACCACTGAAACAGCAGCATGAATGCCGCGGGAAGAAATCACACTGAGATCAAGGTGGCCATGGTGAGCGCACACCTGCAGTCTCCTTTTGTAAAACCCCAAGAGAATCTGAGCTCATCTTTCTCAAGAGGACTCAGACCTCGAGCTTCCTGAGTGGAGGGTGAGGGAGAATTGCTTGCAAAGTGTAAGAATTTGCTAGGGAAACGGCACTGACTGGAGTGGTAATTACATGGGTGCACGCGTCCGTGGGAATCTCTCCACTGAGATCTACCTGCGCGTTTTCTAACTGTGGTAACAGTGTCACCACACGGAAGCTACTGCCCTGAGCACTGTTACATGGACAGGTCCGTGGCACCAAGTTCATTCTCCTTGTGCTTTGCACTTTCTCAGTCCGGAGCTCTGTCCCCGTCAAATCCCAGCTTCCCAGCCTTCGTCCCCCAGCTGCCCAGCCATCGTCCCCGGCTCCCACATTCCTCCGTCCGGCTTTTTGAGCCTGACTCTTCTTGGGACCTCATGTCAGTGGACCTGTCTGTCTGTCTTTCCACACTTGACCATTTCCCTGAGCCTGGCGTCCTCGAAATGACCCACGTGGCAGCAGGTGACATACTCTCCTCCTTCTCCATCACACAGGCCTGCCCCATGTTGTCCAGCCATCCATTTGTCACAGACATGTGGCTGGTTCCGCTGTGGTATCAGGAGTCCTGCTGCTACAGACACGGGCATGCGGGTACCTGTTCACGTCCTTGCTTTCCGCCCCCCGCCCATCTGCCGAGGATGGACCTGCGGGTGTGGGTCATGGTGTGCTGTTTGGGGACCGCTGTCCGTGCCTGCAGCACCCTGCCTTTCCCGACTGTGCCCGGGGAGCCGGGCTCTCCCCAGCCTTGTCCACGCTTGCTCTCTACTGTTCCGCTTTGTTTTTCTGGGGTTTTCCGGGTTGTTTCATTTAGGTTTGTTGTTAGCTAACAGCAGTCATTAAATGCACTGTGGAGAGTGTGTTTCCACACATCAATTATGCCTCAGTAAAGTGCTCAAAAATAAAAACAATGCCAGGAGAGCCTGACCCCAGCACCACCACCACCCTAGGGAGTGGCCCCTGCACTCTGAGTGGCAGTTGAGTCCTCAGGCCCCAGAGCAGGACCAACAAAGGTCTGGCCTGCAGTATAGACCTCAGCCCCAGAGGCGAGGTTGGCTGCCTCCACGCTGGCACCTCGCTCCTCAGTGGCTGAGGTGGCAGAGGGTCATGGCAGAGGCCTGGGCATGCGCCTCCCACACCAGCTGTGGCCAGGCTAGAGGGAGAGGGCAGCATGCTGAGAATAACCAGGCAGCACCACCTTCGAGGGGCAGGCAGGAAGCTCTTCTCAGAAATGAGGCCCGAGGCTGGGAAGGAGCTGGCCAGGCAAGGGTGCTCCCCGCAGTGTCCAGGACAGGGTGAGCCCCCAGCCTGGCACATGCTGCACTCCAGGAAGGCTACAGAAAGCAGCAGATGGGAGGGTAGGAGGCCAAGGGGTGCCCAGGACTGAGGGGTGCCCAGGACCAAGCAGTACCCAGGATCCAACACTTCCGGTTTCCAAACCAGAAATGTCCTGACCAGCTAGGACGACTGTCATGGTAGGTGGGAGACACAACAGTTTCTCCAATGCTTGAAGTGCCTTTGAGTGCAAAGAAAAGTGTGTTCTACCCAGGTGGCCCAGGCCTCCAGCTGGGCACTCTCTCAGAGGTAGGAATTCCGTGGCAGTACTCAGTGACTGCCTGGTAAGTCAGTCAGGGGCTGGTGGCCGGACAAGCGTGGAGCTGGGGCTTTATTTATGGCTCCTTCATCTCATTAGTAAGTAATTCAGGAACTTGTGCCACCCTAAGACCCAGATGTAACTGAGGGTATGCCCCTGAGTGCCCCAACTGGGCCACATAGTTAGGCAGAAACCCCAGGAGCAGAACAGACAGGGGTGGACCGGGTGGCCAGGTTAGGGAGGATGGCTGTGCAGGGCCAGTGTCTGTCCCTAGGGGGTTGAACCCTGGGGCTTTGCACTGGGCTCCATCCCCACCCCTTTTATAATGTTTCACTTTGACACAAGGTCTCACTAAGTCACTAAGCTGCCCAAGATGGGCTTGAACTTAGCGACCTTCCTGCCTCAGCCTCCCAGGCTGCTGGTACAACAAACATCCCCCACCATACTCCAGGCCTTCAAGGACAGCCACAGTGACAAAGCTGTGATGAGCCAGCAGGTCTAGGAGGTGCGTTTTGCACAGGGTGATCATCTTCCACCAGGACAACAGGGGTTCAGGGAAAAAAATCTTTCCTGGGAGTCCTACCCAGAGTAATGACACAAGAGGAAAAAAACAAGATATCAGAAAGAAATTAAAGACACAAACAAATGGAAAGATATTTCACATTCAAGGGTTGGAAATTAATATTATGAAAATGCCCATTGGGTAGCCAAAGCAATCTATAGATTCAACAATCTCTATCAAAACTCCAATGATATATTTCACAGAAACAGGAAAACATCATAAGATGTGCATGGAACCACACAGAGCCCCGGACAGCCAACAATCTGGAGCTAAAAGAACAAAGCTGGAGGCACCAACTACCTAGCTTCAAAACATACTCCACAGCTTAGCAACCAAAACAGCACCACGCCAGCACAAAAGCAGCCAGGCAGAGCCGCTGGACAGACAGAGAGCAGAGAAATCTACCCAGGTACCTACAGACAATGACAATGAGAATGCACCACAGGAAAAGGGCGCTACTCCAATGACTGTACTGGAAAAATTGCCAACCCACGTGCAGAAGAATTAGATTCCTATCTCACACCCTTTACAAAGATCAACTCAAAATGGACCAAAGGTGCACACACAGACCTTAAAATATAATAAAACTATGAGAAAAAAGCACAGGGGGAAAGCACCTTCACATTAGTCAGGGCAATGTTTTTGTTTTTGTTTTTGTTTTTGTTTTTGTTTTTGTTTTTGGGTCAGAAAGCAGAGACAAGAGCAAAACGGGGTCACATCCAACTGGAAAATTTCTGCACAGCAGAGGAAACAATCAGCGGG